CTGGAACGCTCCAGGGTGGAAAACACTGCCTGGGAATAACAAGAAGGGGGGAGAAAGCAGAGCTGGGGCCTCCGGGAGTTTCTCGCGGCGGGGGATGAAGGTGCTGATCCCTCCTCTTGGCCACCAGGTGTCTTCCTGGGGCTGGGGCTGAGCGGGGTGGTGCCCACCATGCACTTCACCATCGCCGAGGGCTTCGTCAAGGCCACCACGGTGGGGCAGATGGGCTGGTTCTTCCTGATGGCCGTGATGTACATCACGGGGGCGGGGCTCTACGCTGCCCGCATCCCCGAGCGCTTCTTCCCGGGGAAGTTTGACATCTGGGTGAGTGTGGGACACCCTGAGGTGTGTGGGGAGAAGGTGGCTGGGGTGAGGTGGGGGACCTGGTGCAGCACAAGATGTGCTGGAAGGCAGAGCTGGAACGCTCCAGGGTGGAAAACACTGCCTGGGAATAACAAGAAGGGGGGAGAAAGCAGAGCTGGGAGGTGGTGCAGAAGCAGTGAGGAAGAGGAGGAAGGTGTTCCCAGTGCTGCTCTGTCCCTGCTTTCAATATTTTTTCCCCCATTTCCTCCCAGTTTCAGTCCCATCAGATCTTCCACGTGCTGGTGGTGGCTGCTGCCTTTGTCCACTTCTACGGGGTGTCCAACCTGCAGGAATTCCGCTACGGCCTGGAAGGGGGGTGCACAGATGACTCTCTCCTCTGAGGGCACCTGGTTTTAGTACAAGCTTCCTAAGTGCTTTTTTAAACTCTTTTTTGTCTTTGCTACAAAAAAAAAACAAACAAAAAAACCAAACGGAAAAAAAAATCAAACAAACAAAAAAATAATCAAAGACTCAACAAACTGCTGGGGGGGTTGGTGGTTTTGTGGTGGTTTTGAAGAAAAAAATACCCCCAAAAAAACCCCAACAAACCACCCCAGAAAAAATCTTCAGTGAGAGTTGATGACCAAATCCTGACACCCCCCACCCCATGGTGCTGGGGACCCCTGTGCTCTCTTCTCTTCTTCCAGACAGTGTTTTAGCAGCATCAGGGCCCCCCCCATTTCCAACAGCAAAAGGGGTGGGTTCCCTGTTCCCAGCACCCCCTGTTCCCAGCACCCCCTGTTCCCAGCACCCCCTGTTCCCAGCACCCCCTGTTCCCAGCACCCCCTGTTCCCAGCACATGCACTTCCAAGCCCCAGAGAGGAGTGTTTATTTTGCATATCCCTGCAGCCTGGCTTGGGGGGGGACACACACAAACACCCAGAGCCCTTCAGCCCCCTCCCCTGGTGCTGCTGCCCAGGGCACAGATTCATGTAATTTAAATTGTCATTGTCTTTTTATTTGTTTTTGGTTTGTTTTCCTTGACAAAGTAATGTAAACAGAAATGAGAGAATATTTAATATTTAATACTTAAGCTTTAATTAAAGACTTGCTGCCACTGCAGTGTACCCAGACCCCCCTCCCTGTCTGTGGTGGTAGAGGAGGGACAGTGTGTGAGGGGGATGTAGAGCTGCTGTAGCTGATTGAAATAAAATGGTCAATAGTTCAGTGTCCTGCTGGGGTGGCTGTGGCTTTTTATTCTGGGGAGGGGTGGGGTGCAACAAAGAAGCTCCTGGGGGTGTTGGTGGCTTCTGAGGAGGGGTCTTCTTGGAGGGCTGGAGCAGCCCAAACAAAAAAACCAAACGGAAAAAAAAATCAAACAAACAAAAAAATAATCAAAGACTCAACAAACTGCTGGGGGGGTTGGTGGTTTTGTGGTGGTTTTGAAGAAAAAAATACCCCCAAAAAAACCCCAACAAACCACCCCAGAAAAAATCTTCAGTGAGAGTTGATGACCAAATCCTGACACCCCCCACCCCATGGTGCTGGGGACCCCTGTGCTCTCTTCTCTTCTTCCAGACAGTGTTTTAGCAGCATCAGGGCCCCCCCCATTTCCAACAGCAAAAGGGGTGGGTTCCCTGTTCCCAGCACCCCCTGTTCCCAGCACCCCCTGTTCCCAGCACCCCCTGTTCCCAGCACCCCCTGTTCCCAGCACCCCCTGTTCCCAGCACCCCCTGTTCCCAGCACCCCCTGTTCCCAGCACCCCCTGTTCCCAGCACCCCCTGTTCCCAGCACATGCACTTCCAAGCCCCAGAGAGGAGTGTTTATTTTGCATATCCCTGCAGCCTGGCTTGGGGGGGGACACACACAAACACCCAGAGCCCTTCAGCCCCCTCCCCTGGTGCTGCTGCCCAGGGCACAGATTCATGTAATTTAAATTGTCATTGTCTTTTTATTTGTTTTTGGTTTGTTTTCCTTGACAAAGTAATGTAAACAGAAATGAGAGAATATTTAATATTTAATACTTAAGCTTTAATTAAAGACTTGCTGCCACTGCAGTGTACCCAGACCCCCCTCCCTGTCTGTGGTGGTAGAGGAGGGACAGTGTGTGAGGGGGATGTAGAGCTGCTGTAGCTGATTGAAATAAAATGGTCAATAGTTCAGTGTCCTGCTGGGGTGGCTGTGGCTTTTTATTCTGGGGAGGGGTGGGGTGCAACAAAGAAGCTCCTGGGGGTGTTGGTGGCTTCTGAGGAGGGGTCTTCTTGGAGGGCTGGAGCAGCCTGAGGGGCAGTGAGGGGGTTTGGGGCAGCCCCAAGGGTTGAAATAAACCCCTTGGGGTTGAAATAAACCCCAGGGTTGAGATAAACCCCTTGGGGTGTTGTGGTGAGGGCTGAGACAGAACGTGTGCCCAGCAGGATCTGCTGCCACCCACCCCTGGGGCAGCACGGGGACGTCACAGCCCAGCTGGGATGTGGGGAGAACAGGACACCCTAAAGCAGGAGCTTCACCTCCTGGAGATGTGAGTGACCCTCCAGAGCAGAGGGGTGAGAGGGAAGGGCTGAGCAAAGCCCCCCCTGCCACACTGAGGGTGCCTGGCAGGGCCACCATAGCCCCTCCCTGCTGAGCAGTGTCCCTGGGTGTGTCCCCCCCACCGTGTCCCCACTGCTCCTTTCCAATCATGGAATGGTTTGGGTTGGAAGGGGCCTTCATGATCTCCTAGATCCAACCCCCTGCATGGGCAGGGACACCTCCCACCAGCCCAGGTTGGAGAGGTTGTGTGGCCTTTTTGGGATGTTTGGGCATGGCCAGGCCTTGGGGATCAGCAGGGCAGGGCAGGCCAGGCTGGACCCCCCCAGGGTGGGGAGCAGGTTCCCCTGGGGTAGCTCCACCTCCAGCAGGTTTTGTGCACCCCTGTGTGTGTCCCCCCCTCCCCAGACCAAGCACACAAGTCATCCAGGTTGCTGCTTAAATGCAGGCCAGGAGCTCCAGGTGTCCTCTCCCCTCCCAGCCAACCCCCCAGGGACAGCTCAGAGCTGGAGAGTGAAACCCTGGAGCTGCACCAAGGTCTGAACAATCACTCTGGGGAGTGACACTTGGGATGCACAGAGAAGGCTCCGTGGGTGTGATTCTACCTCCAAGATCAGCCTCCCCCACTCTGGGGCTGAGATCTAAACTGGGGAGAGGGGACAGCACTGGCCGAGTGACACAGAGCAAGAAAATGGTCTTAAAAATCCACCAGGCAAGGAGCACAGCAGGAGGAGCCTTCAGAGAGCACCTGGAACAGGAAGGTACCAGGGGCACAAGTCCCAGCCCTCCTGGAGCAGCTCTGGGACAGGCTGGGGGGTGGAAAAGGGGAAATGTCACTTTCACAGGGTGACAGGAAACAGGAGATGGCCCTGTGCACTGCACACGGTTTGTACAGTCCTCACTCACCCGGTTGTGACCCCTGCAGTGTCACTGTCACCCCCTCCTCCTGCTACACGGGTCTGACTCAGTTCCCTGACAGAGCAGAGACCAAGATCCTTGCTGGGCAAAGGAAAAGCCACAGAGCAGCTCAGGTACCATGAGCAAGGCTGGAATACGGATACTCATAGAGTCATAGAATCACGGGATGGTTTGAGTTGGAAGAGACCTTAAAGCTCATCCAGTCCCACCCCCCTGCATGGGCAGGGACACCTCCCACCAGCCCAGGCTGCTCCAAGCCCCATCCAACCTGCCCTTCAACACTGCCAGGGATGGGGCAGCCACAGCTTCCCTGGGCAACCTGGGCCAGGCTCTCACCACCCTCCAAAAAAAGAATTCCCTCCTCATCTCCAACCTCCATCTCCCTCTCCCACTTTTCATCCATCCCCCTCATCCCATCCCTCCCTGCCCTTGTCCCAAGTCCCTCCCCAGCTTTCCTGGAGCCCCTCCCTGCCAACAGGCCACACTGTCAACTGATACTGACAGAAAACCCCACTGGGCTTTTTTAACTGCTGCCAAGATGGAAGGTGCCCCCTCCAGCCTGAGGAGGGGCAGTTGGCTGTGCCATTCCCCTGGGAGCCTCCTGCAAAAGCCACAGGCAGCAGGAGCAGGGGTGGACTTCAGTTGGCTGCTGACCCCTTGCTAAGGGGGCTGGAGCCTCTGGGGGGGGAAGGCAGGGGGGCTGGGGCCTCAAGGGGAGACAGGGGGGCTGCAGCCTGTGGGTCCACCTGAGGCAGGTTCTGCCCTAACCCAAGGACTCCAGCTGCGTGGTGGGGGTGTTGAAAACAAACCCAGCAATGAAATACATATTGCTGGAGGCAGTTTTCAGTGGTCTGCATGTTCTCCTGAGAATATTCCCTTTCGGAATGTAAAACTGTCTGTAGATGAAATTCTTTTCCTGGATCTGAAATGTAGGTAGGGACCTAAATCCCATGGGGAAGAGGCTAAATCCCAACTGTGTGCACTGTTGGTGGCCAAGGCCACATCCCAAGGAGACTCCAAAGACTTTCACTTCAGTCCACGTCCAAAGGATGACAACATTCCATTTGGTCCTGGTCTTAAACCTCCATGTATTCTATCAGACAGGTATCAACATTACAGCCATGGATTCTGATCATGAATAAATAGATTTATCATCTTCTAAAAGTTCTTCTGTTTCCCACTGAGAAGTGCTGCAGGTTCCAGGTGGTGTGGCTGCAGTCAGAGGCTACCCCTGGTGGAGACATACCATGACTTGGTCCTCCAGCCTTTGAAGTGACAGCTTGGGTATGAGGAGGAGGAGGAGGATGGTCACTGGTATTGTCTGTAGTCACCGAACGGCGCCGGCTGCAGCTGGGAGGGGTCATCTGAAAACTGAGGGCCTGTAGGAACAGGGGAAAAAGGAAAATAATCATAGGATCAGATCATGGGATGGTTTGGGTTGGAAGGAACCTTCAAGATCATCTAGATCCAACTGCCACGAGCAGGGACACCTCCCAGCAGCCCAGGTTGCTCCAAGCCCCATCCAACCTGCCCTTCAGCACTGCCAGGGATGGGGCAGCCACAGCTTCCCTGGGCAACCTGGGCACAGAAAGACAAAGAGATTCTTCCTTCTGACAGCATGAAAGAGTCTGGGGCCAGACTCTCCTCAGTGATGCCCAGTGACAGGACAAGGGGCACTGGGCACAAACTGGAGCACAGGAGGTTCCAGCTGAACATGAGGAGGAACTTGTTGACTGTGAGGGTGGCAGAGCCCTGGGACAGGCTGCCCAGGGAGGTGCTGGAGTCTCCTTCTCTGGAGACATCCCAACCCCTCTGGATGTGTTCCTGTGGGATCTGCTCTAGGGGATCCTGCTCTACAGGGGACTGGACTAAGATGATCTTAAGAGGTCACTTCCAACCCCACCACTCTATGACTCTGAAACAGTCACAGCAGATTTAGTATCAATCCCCTCTGAAGGTACTGAAGCCAGAACCAGACTCCACAGTGGACATTTCTGTCATTCAAAGGAGTTCAAGAGCTTTACACACTTACAAGAGCCTCACCCTGACAAAGACTGCTTTTGTCTCTTTTATTAATGAGGAAATGAATCAGAGCAGCAAGAGGGAAACATTTTCAGCCCCCTAGAGGAGCTGGCAGCCTGTGCCTTCCTGCCCTTCAGCTGACCTGAGCCACTGTGAAGGTTGTCCCAGGGAAACTTGCCTGGCAGGACAGCAGTGACACGGGACAGGGCACTGCGGAGTCAGCTCCCCGACTGCTCTGAGTGAGGCTGTGCTGGAGGGAAGAGACAGAACCAGATCATGGGATGGTTTGGATTGGAAGGGACCTTCAAGATCATCTAGATCCAACCACCTGCATGGGCAGGGACACCTCCCACCAGCCCAGGCTGCTCCAAGCCACATCCAACCTGCCCTTCAACACTGCCAGGGATGGGGCAGTCACAGCTTCCCTGGGCAACCTGGGCCAGGCTCTCACCACCCTCACACCAAAGAATTCCCTCCTCATCTCCAACCTCAATCTCCCTCTCCCACTTTTCATCCATCCCCCTCATCCCATCACTCCCTGCCCTTGTCCCAAGCCCCTCTCCAGCTTTCCTGGAGCCCCTTCAGGCACTGGAAGGTGCTCTAAGGTCTCCCTGGTCCCTCCCCAGCTGTCTTGTACCTTCACTGAACACTGACTGGGAGAGAATAAACTGTCCCAGGCAAATATCAGCCTTCCTCTAAAGCAGGAAGATTAATTTTCACATTTCTTGGTATTAAAACCATAAACTGCTATAATTTAGATCAAAGAAGCAGCAGTGAACAAATCTGAGAAAGTAAACTTCTCAGGAATTAGGGGTTTGCTACTAACCCCTCCAACACTGAGAATCCTATCATAGAGTCACAGACTGGTTTGGGTTGTAAGGGACCTTAAAGATCATCTAGACCCAACATCCCTCCACAGCCAGGGACACTGGTTTTGTCTGTTTTCCTCCCAAAACACAGTGGGGAAGTAAAGATACTAAGTATTTTTCACAGGCAGGTTCTGACACAAATGGCTGTTGACACCTCAGCTTGTGTTTCACTTAGAGAAAATAATAAGGACTTGAGTTTTTGAAGCAGTTGAGGAAAAAAACCATCCCTCTTGCCCACAACTTTGTTCCCTTGACCTCTTGTATCACCCAGTGATGACTAAACCACTGCTGCCACCATCAGAGGCAGAAGATGGGGACATCTCTCCTTCCAGCCATGTCTAGTGGGAAGGAGCTGGTGCTATTCATCTCAGCAGCAACGTGTGGCTGCAGAAAGTCAAGGAGGAGACACGTTGGTTGCAACTGGCAGAGGAGACTGACTCTGTGACAAGAGGTGACTGGAAGAGGGACATCACTAAAGACCTCATGGTCTGGTGGCTCCTCACCATTTGTGAACTGTGTGGAGGCAAATCTTGTCAACAGGATTCCAGCTCCTTCGATTAAAGCCAGCAGAATCCCCCCCATGGCAGCAGATCCAACCATGGCCACGGGGCCATCTGAAAAGGAAAAGCCCAAGATGAGACTTTTTTGCTCTCTCTCCCACCCTCCAGGCTCAGCAGCAGTAATTTGGCAGCCATGAAGCTTCATTAATGTCACCAAATGAAAGGATAATTACTGGGTAACTACCCCCCCACACACCTAATTAAGGAAACAAAGGAACACTGGTGATGCCTCAGAACATCTTTACTTTCATAAGCTCAGGACAGAAGTTTCCAGCTTCTCTTTCCATTTCTCTGAGAAATTAAATCCCAAGGTGCCACAAATTTTTGCTCCACTGTAACCATGACAACTGTACAAGGAGAATTCCAAGTTTTTCAATTCCTACCCTCCCCAGTGCTCAGTTTCTTACTTCTGGCAGCTAAGATGGCTCCAGTCAGGGCTCCACTTGTGATTGAATTCCATGGATCTTCTTTCCCTCTCATTCGGACCATGCTGCAGTCAATCATGGAGAAGAGGCCTCCCCAGACAGCAAAGCTCCCTGCTCAGGAGAGAAACCAGTTTGGGGAAGGCAGAGGAACCAGTTGTGCTGCAGCCCTGTGAGCAAGGAATGGGGCAGAGGGGTGTGCTCTGCTGGCAGACACAGAAGAACATGCAAAACCAAACCAGAACCACATGTTCTGGTTAAAATCAACAGTGAGAAGAACCCTCAGCTTGCCAAGGGACACACAGGTTGGACACTGACACAGTTAGAGCACAACCTCTTAGATAGAGCCAGTTATGTGAGAGGACAAGGGGTGATGGATGAAAAGTGGAAGAGGGAGATTGAGGTTGGAGATGAGGAGGGAATTCTTTGGTGTGAGGGTGGTGAGAGCCTGGCCCAGGTTGCCCAGGGAAGCTGTGGCTGCCCCATCCCTGGCAGTGTTGAAGGGCAGGTTGGATGGGGCTTGGAGCAGCCTGGGCTGGTGGGAGGTGTCCCTGCCCATGCAGGGGGTTGGATCTAGATCATCTTGAAGGTCCCTTCCAACCCAAACCATTCCAAGCCATATGGCAGTTCCCAGGATGCAAATTCAAAAGACTTTTATTGATAATGTGTGTTATAAATGAGAATATTGATCTCCAAGCACATTGTGGGAAAACTATTTAGAACAAGTTCAGGCCTTCTTCACTTGAGATTTCTTAATGCTTTATACAGCTTAACAGCAGCTACAGAGCAGGAGGAGCCTCTCTCTGGGCACCTTCTTTTGACTCCAGCTGCAGTGCTGTGATTTTTTAGGCTTTTTAGACTCAAAATTCCCTCCACAAAATCAGTAGACACTTCCCTGGCTGAGCCCAGGGGAATAGCCTGAACTCCTCCCCAGTCCCACCATCTACTTCATGGTTTCCTTGAGTTGGATCATTTTAAGGAATCAATGCTGTTTCTTTTTTAAAACCCTGTACAGGATGCACAGCCCCCTGGGGAGGTTAAAATATGACAATTTTTAAAGCCATCAATAATAAAGGCTTGAACACACCATGAACATAAACATGTTTCCTCCACATCTAACCTGATTCTGGATGCACCAGATCTGTATTGACTCATTGCCTGGATTAACAGACCCATGAAACCCAGCTCAGGTGTCACTCCACTTGTCCCATGTGATGTTCCCAAACTGGGGTTATTTACCAACTGGTTTTAACAGGAATTCATTCATTACCTCCCAGCTGGGGAGCTCTTGTTTTAATGGCTGTCAAACTGCCCCGCAGCCGGTGGTTCACACCCTGCAAAGAAAGAGAAATGACAAGTAAAATCAAGTGTCACAGCTAGACTGGCTGCACATAAACTCCCCCCAGGCCAAACACCCTTCTGAGCACCCCCAAGAGGTGACAGATAAAATGCATTTTACAGGTGCTTTGATATTTATGACTGCTTTAGATCTAAAGAAATGAAGCACAGCCCCAAAGCACCGAACCATTTGAGCTTCCAGCCTGTGTCAGTGGCCTGAAGGAGACACCAAAGTGACACATTTTGCAAGATAAGCTTAGAATCATGATGGGTTTGGTTTGGAAGGGACCCTAAAGATCCCCTGCATGGGCAGGGACACCTCCCACCAGCCCAGGCTGCTCCAAGCCCCATCCAACCTGCCCTTCAACACTGCCAGGGATGGGGCAGCCACAGCTTCCCTGGGCAACCTGGGCCAGGCTCTCACCACCCTCACACCAAAGAATTCCCTCCTCTACATGCAGCCAGCCCAAATGGCCACATTGTGCTGAGCCCTCCAGCTCCCCACCCCCAGGGAGATGTCCCTCAGTGGGGGCTTGTCCCACCCCTGCCTTCAGATCTATCAGGGAAAACTGCACTTTTAACCCAGGACAATGAAGGTCCCACCTGGCTCTTGAGCTGCTCAACAGATCCACCCTTCTGGGTGGGATTAATGACATGCAGCAATGATCAGCCCCAGTGGCTGCAGGGGGATTTCTTGTCCCTCCCCTTGGGTGATGGAGATGGGCAGAGGGGGCAGGACTGTCCCCTGAGTGCACAATCCCATGTTTTTACTTACCACTGGAGAATTCCTGAAGCCCTTGATAGCCTGGAAAATGCCACCGCCGATGGCTCCCATGGTGAAAGCACCTCCACAGTCATCTACTATCCTCCAGGGACTGGCCAGAAGAATGAAGATGAGAAGATTCAAATCCATCATGTTAAAACTGTTCAAGGAGCTTCCCAGGCTCCACCATTTGTGCACCAAGTCCAGCTGGAGGGATAATCCAGCTGCACTGCCCCACCTCCAGCAGCAGCCAAGCAAGTAAAACAAACCCCAAGTGCCCCAACTTCACCAACCCTGAAGTGGTGGTGATGAACATAATTCCCTGAACTCCTCCCACAAGGCAGGAAGATGTATGTTCATCCTGGAAAACTGCACAATTCCTTCCCTACCCTGCTTAGGGAGTGCAAATAGCTTCACATTTATTTGCGTCTTTTTGCCTTAATCTAAAGGAAACTAAGGTGGCAGATCCAGTGAGACTCAGTTCCCAGCTGGAACAACCCAGCTCTTCCCTGAATCCCTCCTGCTGGAATTAGTGCTGCTTATTTAAAAGAGAGACTTCAAATCATCTTTGGATCAACTGAAAAGCTTTTTCCTGAAGCATCCTGGATCTTGGAAGTTCTCTCAATCAAAAGACAAGGCCACAATTGCTGCCTCCAACCACATTCCTGCCTCCAACCACACAGGATCCCAGTTCTGTCACAGGGGGACACACAGTGTCCCGTGTTTCCAACCAGGAGCAAAAGCTTTGCCAGAGGAAAAGCACCTTCCTCCAGCAAACACCTCCAACACCAGGGACAGGAGCTTTAACCTGGGCTTCAAAACTGCTGCCAAGCCCTGGAGACTTGGAACTCCTCCCCACTGACCTGACCTCCTGCACGAGGTGAGCAGTGACCTTCAACCACCACAGGCACTGCTGGGGATTGGGAAGCAAAAAATACCCAAGGTTTTGTTTCTTTCATCTTCTGTGAAAATCTTCACAGAATCATGGGATGGTTTGGGTTGGAAGGGACCTTCAAGATCATCTAGATCCAAGTTTTGCCACGGGCAGGGACACCTCCCAGCAGCCCAGGCTGCTCCAAGCCCCATCCAACCTGCCCTTCAACACTGCCAGGGATGGGGCAGCCACAGCTTCCCTGGGCAACCTGGGCCAGGCTCTCACCACCCTCACAACAAAGAATTTCTTCCTAAAATCTCATCTAAATCTCAGCATTCCCGTTGGGAAATCACTGATGTGAATCTTCCAACTGGATTCCAAGTTTCATGATTCAATTCTTGCAGAATCCAGCTCCTGTATGTGGGAGCAACATAAGAAGGACATGGAGCTGTCGGAGAGACTCCAGAGGAGCCACAGAGATGATCCCAGGGCTGGAGCAGCTCTGCTCTGGAGCCAGGCTGGGAGAGTTGGGGTGTTCAGCCTGGAGAAGAGAAGGCTCCAGGGAGACCTTAGAGCAGCTTCCAGTGCCTGAAGGGGCTCCAGGAAAGCTGGGGAGGGGCTTGGGACAAGGGCAGGGAGGGATGGGATGAGGAGGATGGATGAAAAGTGGGAGAGGGAGATTGAGGTTGGAGATGAGGAGGGAATTGTTTGGTGTGAGGGTGGTGAGAGCCTGGCCCAGGTTGCCCAGGGAAGCTGTGGCTGCCCCATCCCTGGCAGTGTTGAAGGGCAGGTTGGATGGGGCTTGGAGCAACCTGGGCTGGTGGGAGGTGTCCCTGCCCATGCAGGGGGTTGGGACTGGTAGTTTGTTAAAGTCCCTTCCAGCCCAAACCATCCCATGATTCCATAGTTATCCCACCACTCCCCTCCCTTGTCTTCACTGCCCTGCCTGTGACACGCGTTGATCTCCCTCTTCCCTCACGTCCCCTCCAGCTTTGACTCCATTAAACAACCCAGCCCTGCTTCACATTTTCTTTTCCTTCCTCTATTTCCTGCATTTGATGCTCAGGAAGAGGTTCCAGGCACATTGTTGTTAGAACTGCCAAGATGAAAAACCACTCAGCCTTTCTTCTCAGAGCTTTTTTGTTGCTGTTTTGTTCTCCTGCCCAGCTTTTGATCTGCTGTCTTATGAATAAAACATCTCATCACAGCTCTCCTCCTTCAACCTTCCCAACACTGATTCTGCTAAAAGGCTTTCTGGAAATCTAAGTAGATTATGTCAAGTGCTCTTCCTTTACCCACAAGGTCAAACAATTCCAATTTAGCAAACCATGACTGTTCTTTACAGAAGCTTCATTAATTAGATCCCAATCAGGGCCTGCTTGCCTAGATTTTATCCATCTTTAACCCTCCTTCAGGTGTCAAGCTCATTACCTGTTACCCTTGGGGTTCTTAATTCCCCTTTTTCAACCACCCCCCCCAACCCTCAGCAGGAGCAGCTTTGAAATGAGAACCCCCCTTTGATACCAGCAGAGCCATTTCATATCTCAGCTCCACATGCACCTGAGAGCTGGCAGAAGACACCCCCAGTCCCTGCCCTCAGCAGAGGGAAGGAAGAGAACAGAGATTATTCTGTTATTAATCTGGCACTTATCTGTGAGCTTAATGCCATGGTTGGTTGTTTCCTGACCTGAATGGGACACCTCCCAGCAGGAACCTGACATCCTAACACATGAGATAAGGTTGGATTCCTGCTCCAGATGGCAACCAAGATTGATTAGAGGTGAGGAGAGCAAAGGCCTCCAGGGCAGGCACACACCAGAGGCTGAGGACAACCCCACACCTCAGACACAGAGGGAGCTGTGGTGGCTCACAGCTCAAAAAGAGAGTAGAGGGTGTCAGGGCCAGAACATTGAGGACAGCTGTGACTTCCCAGAGCAGGGAATTGTCCCTCCCAACTCCACGACTGCCTGCAGCTCTCCTAAGGGCTGATGAACCACTGGAGTCAGGCTGAGGCTACACAACAGCCCTTGCTTCTAAAATGACAGTCAGGTCCTACAGTGTCCCCTTCCAGGGCAGTCACAGTGTTCCCATGGGACTGACACCCCCCACTGTGCTGTGAGGGGGAGAGGTGAGGGGATGACCAGCAGCAAATGGGACAAAACAGTGTGGAGTGCCCAAGAGTTTAGCAGCAAAATCTTCTCAAGGGAGAATGAGCCCACAGCAACCAATCAATCAATAACACTTGCTTTGCTGAGACCCCAAACATTTTGCTAAGCTGGAGTTGACATTTATGGAAAAACTTAAAATGGCAAAGCTTTGGGGAAAGCCTGGCAAGGAGTCCCAGGCTGCATGTTTAAACCTGAGCCCAGACTCTCCTTTCAATGCTTTATTACTACAAACCAAACCTTTTAAGTTATCGATCAACAAGGCTGTGAATGTTTTGAAAGACACTGCAGAAAGGTGGTGGGTGTCACAGATGGTGCCAGAGATGAGGCTGGACAGGACCTCCTGCCGGCAGGAAGGGCAGAGCCAGCGGGGAGGAGGGGGAACTGAGGGGGGAGATGGGGGAAGAGTCGAGG